GATCCAGCTACCAACTGCTTAAGAGCCATTTGCTTCACAGTATCAATGTAAAACTGCAAAATTCAATAAGCCAGCTTACATATAAGAATTAAAAAAAGGAGTTTTCACCAAAGTAGATAAATTTGAGAATCCAAGATATACTCTAAAAAGGATAAGTCGCAAAGACAATCCACAGGGAAAAAAAGAAAAAAAAAAAAAAAACAAACCTGGTCACCAAGTTGTGAAGCAAGAACAAGGGCAGGTCCCCATAACTGACCTTCTTGTGCACATTGTAAAGCCTCTTTCTTTCTACCAGATACAAGATAACTCTGAACCTCAGAAGCAGTTGCCTAGAACATACACGAAAAAAATGTTACATCACCCAGAAGATAACCTTGTTATCATGTATTTGTTTGAGAAAGCATTATGAATTGATACCCGCATTTGTCCTTCAGAAGGCAATGTCTGCAAGCAGTGGCTAAGAGAATGATAGTTATTGAATTGTACGTTATTCATCTTAGCAGAAGCAAAAAGAGTGGCAACTGCTGACTCTGGATTATCACTTTCCTGATAAAAGTACAAAAACAAATTAGGATGAAATGCTGTTGACCTCAAGTGTTCATTCAAGAACAGAAATTGGAACATTTCCCATAGGCATAATGTAAAGATGACTCAGACAGATGCAACAATAAGTTGAAATCAAGTGTTCATTAAAAAACAATAAGTCTGCAAATAAAAAGTAGATTTTTTTTTTTTAAAATATTAAAGACTCGTAGTACACATTCATAAACGATTGTTTAATAATAGATTGGTGTGTGTGTGTGTGTGTGTGGTGGGTGGGGGGCAGTTTACCCTTAACACAGTGTCTGTGCCAAATGGAGATCGAAGTTTCCCATAATGCTGATATCCTATCTTAAGCAAATTAAGAAGGAGCCTCAATGCTTCGCCTTTTCTGTAATCCATTCCTGATGTTTCACAATTTGCAATCCTTTCATCAATCCATTTCTGTAACTCTTTACTCCCCACACTTCCACCAACCAATGGACCAGGAAAGGACTGTTGGCAAAGAGCACTAAAGTAATTATTTGCACCAACATCATTGCCAAAAGCATTGGCATTAGCGTTACCCATGACAACTTCCATCAAGTTCAAGACAGAAATTGTCCCTCCAACAGGATCCTTCACAAGTAACAAAGACAACTGATCAGAGTAGAGTTGATGCATCCAAATGAATAAATCATAAAAGTTCTTTAATCTGAATATGCAGGTAGTGGGACATGATTAATTTGCTTGTGATGGTGTGGTATAAATATATTTATATATATCATCGTGAAATATTCAAAACCAACTTTTGCAACAGAGGCTTTTCAAAAAGGAAATGGACAGAGAAAAAAATGAGTCCTAACCTGACTTCCATAAGTTGAGTTTCCAAACGAGCTGCTGTCTTTCACCACTACAAGTTTACCTCCAAATCCGAATGTTACTAATGCATGTGGTGGACGTCCAGCAGAAGATCTTCCAATATTTGAAGCAAAAGAAGACTGATGACCTCCGTGAAAAGATTGTTTAAGATTAGTCACATGTGTCTGATTGCTATAGTAGTCACTCGATAGAGGCATATGCTCATGTTCCTTTGAATTCTCCTGATGAAACTGATGGCCATAATCCATAGTTGAGGGAAAGTTATTTAAGCTGGTAGGTCCATTGACCTCATTACGACCTTGACTTGGTTGGAAGTATGATGGAACTGTTCCAAAAGAACTAATAGACTTCTGCTGCTCTTTTTTTACAGAAAAATCAGGACTTGTAGACCTATCCAGTACCTGATTTCCACCAAAATTTGGGCCAGCCTGAGATGAAACACTTTCAGTTTGCCAAGTAGTCGAACTCTGTTGATTTTCCTTATGATAAGAGCCTGTCAATTTATCATCGTGGCCTTGATTATCAATACCACTAGATCCATATGTGTTAGGTTGCCCATGAACGCCATAAATACTACTGTTGCTATAATTATAGCTGTTTGGTGATACATACCCGTTTTCATTATCCTGAACATGAGCTTCATTAGTTGACTTAATTGATGAATTGTAGGATTCCAAGGAGCACCATACTTGAGCAATTGTGTCATAATACCAACCAGGGTATTGAGGATCAAAATACATATGTTCAGGGTACCCAGTAGTCCCTTGTGATACCTGATTAAAGTTAGAAACATCATCTGTCGTGCTAGTCTCAGTTACAGTCCCTGCAACAGACTGAGCAGTTTGTAAATAAGCAGCCTCAGTTTTCGTGCCGGAAACATCAGCCCATTCACCGTTCAAATTGGCATCAAAGGTACCTTGGACATTTGCGGCTGTAGCAGAGTCCTCAACCTGATACCATTGCCCAGAAACTGAATCAAACTTCCACCCTGGATAGAGATTTTCCCACTGCTGACTGCTACTTAAATCCTGCCCAGCCGAAACTTGATCTGTGGATCCTTCATAAACTTGCTGATTGGTTTGATACTGCACATAATTAACAGAGTTATTTGCATAGTTCTCGTCTGCACTAGATTTAATTGTTGCTGCACCACTCAAATTATTCTCCAAGGACCCACCGGGATTCCCTGCTTCATTAATACCCAAATCATTGAAAAAATCCGAATACGATCCAAACCCATGCCCCCAACTCTGCGATGAATCAGCGTAAAACGAACTCCATCCAACCTCCTTTATTGCCGGACCAGCAGATTCATCGCTCTTGCTCACCAACGAATCTGACGTCGATTCCGATGCAATACCATCATTTCCCGATTCCAACACACTAACGCACCCGACAGAATTAGAAGAAACCACTGAAGCCTTCTCCTCTGCATGTGCTCCCACCGCTCCTGGATCAGCCTCCACGGAACCCTTCTCCAGCACAGCTTCATGCTGACGTTCACCAACACCACCAGAATCCTTGAATGTATTGTCCGCATCATTCATACTCAGATTGGCAAACGCCTTGGCATCATCAGAATCACTTCCATCGAGGAACTTGGATCCTGAATCATCGGGCGCCACAAAATCATCTTCCACCAATTTATCAAAGAAATCTTCATCCGTCTGATCCTCCACCTGAAATGGAGGAGGATTGGAAGCCATCTTTTAAACCCTAAATCCAACGCAACGCGTAATAACCCCGTCCAAATTCACACCGCTGCCCACTAAAGAACCCAAAAAACACTTCCGAATTCACACCTTTACCAATTCGATTAGAGCTACAACCGCAACATATACCAAGAGATCCAGCCCCTAATGGCTCAAATACACCTCAAAACCACTTCCCCCAACTACGAAAGCTCCAATCCAACACATCCAACCCTAAAACGAGCAAGATCTGGCCCTCTGAAACCTCCCCAACGAAGCAACGTCAAATCAAATTACAAGGATTACCAGAAACGAAAAAAATAGAACACAAACCTAAATATCTACTAGAATTCAAGGCATTGTTCGAAACGAAAAACTGTGAATTCTAACAAAAAAAAACATAATAACTTACAGATCTACAGATGGATACGCAAGGAAATGGCAGGGACAGAGAGAGAGAGAGAGAGAGAGAGAGAGAAAAGAAGAACCCTGAAATTCGCACCACCCACCCACCTTGAGCTTCGGTGTTTTTTTTTTTTTTTTTTTTTTT